CCCCAAAACCCCAAAACCCCAAAACCCCAAAACCCCAACCTCAGAGAACAAATTGTAATTATTAAAAAATAATAATGTCAAAAAGAAAGGCAGAATACGGACTTGAGAAGGATAATCAAGGCAATATTGTTAGAACTGGAGAAACCCAACCAGAAGAATTACTGCATGGCTCAAATAGAATCTGAAGTCAAGCTGAAATTAAAGAGAGGAAAATCTATAAGGCTAAACGTCTTGTTAGACCAGGAAATCCTCAAGGGAATAGACCTACTGCTAAAGGAAAGTTCAAATTACTCGGGACTCTAAAATCAAAACCTGTTGAGTCTAAGAGAATCGATACTCCTAAACCACCAACAGTGAATAAAATTCAGAATGTCCCAAAAATTACTAAAAACAAGGAGAAAAATATTCAGGAACAAAATACTCAAAAACAGTCTATTTTCACTAAATCCACATCTAATTCATCAACTATGTTTGGAGGCGCGAAGCCAAAGCAGACTGAAGAGAAGAAGGAGTCTATCTTTCAGTCTAAGAAACCTGAAGAGAAGAAGGATCCAGTGAAGAAACCCACTGAGGCAAAGACCCAATTATTCGGATCAAAAGCCCCATCGGGTCCTTCTAAATCAGTGTTCGTTCACAAACCTGATACTGAGGAGACTAAGAATATTGTAAATGTCTTCTCAGTGACTACTAGTGCTACCAAGGGAGATGCACAGCCAAAGAATGCCAGCAAGGGTCCAAATATCTTCGATCAGATTAAGAGTAATAAGAGTGACCAAAAAGAGTCTGTTTTCGTAGTAGGAAGTAAGGGAAATAAAACAAATGTAAGTATCTTTGCTCCAAAGACTTCTAACAAAGAGCCTGCTACTTCTAAACCAACAAGGTCTCTCTTTGCTCAGAAGCCTAAAGAAATATCCTCTCAAGCGAAGTCTCAAGAGAAGAAAGAGGAAGCGAAAAAGGAGGAAGCCAAGAAAGAAGAGGTAAAGAAAACAACCTCTCTGTTTGCATCTAAACCAAAAGAAACTATTCCAGTGACTACTGAGAAGAAGCCTTCTCTATTTGCATCTAAAGGAGTAAATATCTTTGGAAAGTCGTCAGATGATACAGCCAGCGCTCCTAAGAAGGTAGGGTTATTCGGAAACAACCCAGTTGCATCCAAAACAGGCTGTAAGTATTTACACATCTCATTTGCATAGCTCTTTTCGGGAATTCTAGTAAACCTTCAGCAGAGAAAAAGGAAGAAAATCAGGAGCAGAAGGCTAAAGTAAAGTCCTTGTTTGGAACTTCTACTACTAAGCCGGACACAGGTAAGTACCAGACTGGCTAAACCCTTTAGAAAATAAAGCCAAGAGTGGAACAGGACTATTCGGAGGAACTAGCTCATTATTTAAAGGAAAATCATTATTTTCTGGAATAAAAAGCACTGAATCTAATAAGAACTCCTTCATTAATTCAGGAAAGGCTGCCACTAAGAAAGAAAAGGAGGAAGAAAAGGATCAGGAGAAGAAAGAAGACACTAAGCCTTCCTTCGTGGCTATTAGCAAAGACCCATACACTAAAATCTTTAATAAGCAGGTGGAGAAGTTCAGAACTAAGGCTGGTGATAAAGGAAATGGACATCTCTCCGTTGAGACTGGAGAGAAGGATGGAAAGAAGTTTGTACTCTTCAACTTCAGAAATCCTATTGGAAAGACATTATTCACTGGGCAAATAGTCGAAGCTTGCAAGAAGCACAAAGCTCTTGATAAGCCAGGAAAGATCCAAATCAAGGTTGTAGTGATTGAGAAGGATATGAAGACTGGAAATCTAACCCCAATGCCATCATTGATATCATTCAACAGAACTGATGACCTCAAAGAATTCAATGAGAAGTGGGATGAAGCCAAGAAGTTCCTTGCATAATGGTAATCCATAATTGAAGAATCAAGAACAAATATTTTAAATCAATTTTAAAGCGAGTGGACGGGGTTTTGGGGTTTTGGGGTTTTGGGGTTTTGGGG